GGAACACCTGCTTGTCAGGCGAACATCCTGGTTTTGATGCAGAGGAAGTTATTATATTTGTATTTGTAAGCAGACGCGTGGCTGTGTGGCGGAACACCTGCTTGTCAGGCGAACATCCTGTTTTGATCCCAATTTTAGTTCATTTGCATTTTTGTAGATTTTTGGTCATAGACTAAATGATGATTTTCCGCTCACAACCAATGAAGCACACGCCGACGCTGACGCCGTAATTTTTTTCAAAACGAGCTCTTTAACGCTTACGCGCTGAAACAACTTCGTCCCTATACTGCTTACAAATAACTTATGACCGGAGGATGCACACACTTAAAGCTTATTTCACGGGGAAGTACAAAAGGGTAATTCCGCAGAAAAGTAATCCTGAGATCCCACTTAGGTGAAGGATCGCGCCGAACGTACAAACCACTGGAAATGATAGTGATGCGAATATGCAGTGCCCAGTATTTAAAGAAAATCCCCGATCAGCGAATATTTGTTCAATTTGAGTGCATAACAACATTTTCAGTTTTATTAACAGCATACTTGGTTCTGATATGACTTTTTTGAGAACTAAAGCAACAGAACAACCACGTTCAATTAAGCGTGGAGAATCACTTCTAAGCTGTCCTGGTGTTGCGGATGAGTGGGTGCGTTGGTTTCACATATTTTGAAAAGTAAGACGTGGCCACGATAACGAAGCACCAATGGGGAGAGAAGTAAATGAGCCGAAATGACACCACGTAACGAGTTATAACTTGTTCTTGCAATTAACAAAAATTGGCAGCCGATTCAGTGAATGCTGATGATGGAGTGAAGTTAGTGCTAAGGTCCATAATATCGACGTTGAAGTCCCCGACGAACTGAGACATGGATGGATAGATGGACGGGCGGACGTATAGATGTACAGATGGATGGACAGACAGATACACGGGAGGACAGACATACGGATGCACGGACAGATGCATGGGTGGAGAGAAAGGAAATCGTTCGAGCATAAGGAGCTTCGCTCCTAGAAAATACAGATAAAATGTACCCACTATTGGTAACTGCAGCAGTGTAATGTTTAGGACGGTACAATGAAGTTACCTATCGTGGTTATAACCCCGCCCGGCCACTTGCACGTAACTAGGAGGCTGGAAAGGATAAAAGGGCTGACGTTGATGCAGACATTTCCAGTCTGCATCAACGTCAGCCCGCAATTACCAGGCCGCAATTACCAGTCACAGGTGAATGTACTCACAAAAAAAATTGTCAAAGGACTGGGCTAGACTGAGGCGCATACGGCAGATATTAATAAATCACGAGAGTAAGTTTGAGATTATCGTTGAGGGGACACTAAAGAGCAATATTTAGTAAATGTTCATTCCTGAATAGTGCTCCGGAAACCTCGTTGTGCTACTTTTGTGCCGAGGAAGTGCTTATTTTGAAATTCTTTAGTGATCCGCACCGTGTTAGCGCACTTTAAATTACCCGCCTCAAGTGGAAACTCATGTCGCAATTGCCATGCACAATGGCTTTACTGCGCGGCCACCGACACTGGTAGCAGCAGGGCGAAAGTAGCGGGATCCACAGCATCAACAACGGCCATTGAACAATTTCTTGCCATGGTCTTCAAGATGGCAGGCCTGCTGCGTTCAACCGTGCCCCACTAGATGACAACACCTGTCTAGTTTAACAAGGCGAAAATTGAACCTTGAATTACTCACGCCATTTACCATAGTAATGCCAGGCGGTTCTTTTTTCATAAATGAAACAAAAGCGAATAAGTAGCAATTTATTGGGTCTCTCAATCTAAGAAAGGCTTTTTATTTATTGCAGTTAGTTCGGTTACTTGTGATTGATTCTAGACGGTTGTCTACTCATGGCGCATGTGTCCTTGTGCATTTATATTATTTTCTCGTTAGTAAGGTACTGTTGTGGATAATGCTGTCGTCTTTCCCTCTGACTTATATTGTTAGTTCGCCTAGTTTCCCCGTAATGTGAACCATCACTGTATACTGCCAATTATAACACATTTGACTCAAACACGGAGCGTAAAAAAGAATTAAAAAAAGTTGACTGGCAGCCTGCGTTGGTGAACAAAGATTATTGTGTTGTAACATGTCACGGTGGTCTAGCGGTTTTGATGCTCGAGTGCTGACCCGAAGATCGCAAGAATATATCCCAGCCGGAGAGTGTGCATTGTCGGTAGAGGCAAAAACACCTTTTAGGGGCGAAGCTCCTTAAGGCGTGGGTCTATCCATCCTCGGCGTATGTATGTAGCCACCTCTAGTTTAGTTCTTGCATTGTTTACTAGATGACGTGGCTACCTCTAGTTTAGTTCTTCGATTGTTTACTAGATGGCGGGGTTCCGTTCGCTGTTGGGGCGCGCTCGGATTTGCCCGATGGATAACGCCGCCGAGGGGCGAGCGCACAAGGCGGCGGCTGCTTAGTTCTTCGATTGTTTACTCGGCGGCGGGGAGTGTTGCTATAAAATCCGTTTGCAGTTGGCGCGCGCTCGGATTTGCCCGATGGATAACGCCGCCGAGGGGCGAGCGCACAAGGCGGCGGCTGCTTAGTTCTTCGATTGTTTACTCGGCGGCGGGGAGTGTTGCTATAAAATCCGTTTGCAGTTGGCGCGCGCTTGGAGCACCCTGATGGATAAGGCCGCAGAGCAGTGGCAGCGCGTGCTCGCAGACAGAATCCCGATGTGCGAGACCGCGAGGCAGAAGCGCTCCGTGAAACTACGCGGCGCCGCCACCAACATCCTGCCGTACGAGAGCGGGAGGCCGAAGCGTGTCGTCTGGCTGCGCGACGACGACGCCAAGATCCCAGCGTTCGAGAACAAAAGGCCCAAGCATCACGGCAACGGCGCGAGGACCCTGCCGTACATATGCACATACAGTGTTTCTCACGCCTTTCTTGATAATGTAGTGGGCGAACGTTCACTGAACAGTCACGGTTTTACCGACGATTTCCCCTCAGGAGCTTCGCCCACTCATCATCATTCACCCCGTGGATATGCTGTGAATTTTTTTATTTAGGTTTAGGTGCACGTTAAGTAACCTTAAGTAGGCGAAATGTACGGAACTTACCACTGCGCCGTCTCTCATAACCGTATCAGGATTAGGCGTGGTATATCCCAACAAATATAAAAAATAAGAGGCCGGAAGATAGCAGAGTGAATCATAAAGCAAGCACAGATAGGGAGCATTCTAGCTGACATTATAACTCGCGAAAAAAGCCTTCGACACACCTCATGATGCGCAGAGAGACTACCTGCGGTCATTTAAAGTGACAAGGCCGACAATGAATAATGTGAAACGCAGGAGACGATGACTGAGAGTTAGGTGTTGGGGGGGGGGGGCGATAAATCATGAAGTTTTTATAAATTAAGTGCGATCATCCCGGGGAATAAATGTAGAATTCTGCAGTGCATTATGGTTCAACAGGCGCCTTGACTGCGATAGGATTTGGCTTTGAGCATTGTTGCTGAATGTCCACATAAGAGTATCTATCGTGAGTGGCATACAGACAGAAATTGTGGGCGCTTCAAAAAAATGCGATTTCAAATATTTATGTACTATCGGAACAAGACAGAACCATTACTTTAGTTTTCGTCGAATGGGAAAAGAATCCTATGGAACGTCTGAAACATTCTGTTGAAAGCAAGCGAAATGAAAGGAATCGTGCAATGCCATCTGAAAGCGTATTTCTGTCGAAGACTCTGGTCCTTTGTTTAATCCAGCGCAAGACTTGATGAAGTGTCGACAACTGGTCAGCATAAACTGAAGCATCTGCTTGAAAAATCTACAAATACATGATTGAGCACGTAATATTGTACACACTGCAAAGTGGCAGAGTTTGCGTGCCTGGTGAAATACGTAAACGTATTACTCGACTCGTAGGATCCGCGTTTATTTAGAAGGCTCTTGCGGCTGCGTACTCGTGTAGGCAAAAAAGTAAGAAAGCTACCAAAGGAAGAAATGAAGCAAACCACAGCGCATAAGCAATCACATCTTAATTTTTGGGCTAAGAAAGACGACCACACGAGGGAAGAAGGGACTGGTGCTACTAACCACTACTATATTGGAAAGGTTGTAAAGAAATATGTAGCGCCGTCACGCGCAGACGTACCGAGCGCATATCAAAACAACACCACTTGTAGGGCTAAGGGCATGTGACATTACAAAACCTATAGCTCTTGTGCATGCAAATAAACGTGTCAATAACATACTCAGTACCTTTTTCTTCATATAGCACACGCACCTCCACGACTTTACGGGATGATTAGTTTCAGCTACTACCCATACCTTTGACCTCAAGAGGTATCGGTTTGCACGCACATTTTGAGCAGTGGAACGACACATTTTCTTTGAATTTTTCGCGCGTGTTCATTTACCCATCTATTAACCAGGGTCAGAGTTTGATTAGGTTTTTTTTTATTTCACATGTGTTTTGAAAAAAATATGTTTCACAATTTTGAGTACTCAATACTGAACTACGAGGGAGCCGACCCGATTATATCGAGCAACGCTAAGTATGGTTCAAGATGCAAGATTGTTCGCTAGTTAATAAGTTGTGCTGTATTAATCTGCGCTCGTCACGTCTGCTCATGACTATGCATTATACTTTGTTGCAACGTTCGCAACAAGCCAGTTGTTATTGGAGGGCCTGACACGCCTCCTCTCATGTTTTCGTCCTTCCTGACGCAACAATGAAAATGTTCTATACTTACTGATTCGCCCGACAAGATTTTATTCAATAAGCAATCGTTATGTCTTGCTTCGCGAGACTGCCACGTACTAGTACACTCACTATTGTTGGTAGAAACAATCCAACCGCAATACCAAACTACGCTTTGAGGTGAACATGCCAGTATATTGAGAACAAATGCAGAACAGTCAGACACAAAAAACTTGAAAAAAAGATAGATAGTTGATTTCAGCTAAGCTTCATCAATAGCATGAACGGAGCCGATATTACCCTGTCGTCTTTTGACAAAGGCTGCAATCTCTGCTCACCTATTGTTGATGTGCACGAACGGAATGCCCTTCGAAAAGTCGACCGAATTTTTTACGATTTCGTGGGAAGAGCTTCGTAGTCACCATTAAATACTTTTGCATTTACTGCGAACGATGTAGGTCGTGTGCGACCCAGCTGTGAGCTGTTGGTACGGTGGAGACTAGAAGAGAAGCATTCATCTTTTTGTTTTGTTTTTTTAGCTCGAGTCTGACTGCGACTGTTGCCGCTAATAAGTGTCCCAGCTGGGACAGCTTGTACAACGGTGCATTGAAGTTTAAGTTCTCCGTCAGTTTTAGGCACAATCAGCACGATCTTACGTTTTATGTGACCTTTTGTCGAGAAATCACGCCATTGTGATTCAAAGGGCACATTATTCGAAGCTTACAAAGAAACAAAATAATTATGACGCTGTCACTAACGATACAGCCGTTCACCGGATAGCAAGTTTAATTTTTTGCTTGAACACGGTTGTAGACACATTACATGCTCTGACGTGTCACATGAAAAAAATTCACGCGATGATGTGGCCTAGCACAATGTTTCAGAAATTCATCATTCCAGTAAAAGACACGATAATTACTTTAGGGACCACACAGACGTTTTTTCGTAAAAGCTCTGTATGGAATATTTGAAATCTTTTTGGTCCATGTTGGGATAAAAAAAACGCTTGGAAGAGGAGGTGCTGTGGATCTCACGTTTTGAAAAGCGGTCTTTTCTTGTTTAAGGAGGCTGTGCAGCAACGTTAAGGACACTGAAGCGATTTTAAAGACACTGACTTCAAGGACACTGAAATGGCAAAGTGATTTATATCCTATTAGTAGTTTAGCCTTTCATATAGACGAAAAACCTCAATTTTGGAGCACAAATGCGTTAGTTAAGCGACACACACAAACACACACACGCACGCACGCACGCACACACACACACACGCACACACCCACACACACACACACACACACACACACACACACACACACACACACACACACACACACACACACACACACACACACACACACACACACACACACACACACACACACAGAGTTGACATTACCGCAACGAATGCCAGTATGATATAGATTTTGATGGCACCTGCTAGAGTTCACGGAGTTCCCATATAGTGACTTCAAAATAAAGATGATTGAGCTCTGACGAAACCACAGAGATATCATGCCGAGTTTCAGCAAATTTTTTTAGCCGGTACGGCGAGAATGCGACAAAATATGAACGGGAGATCTATGACCGCCCGCGGGCAGATTTCGGGGCGAAATTAAGCAATTAAAGGTAGAGCTTAGCTTTCTCCTTTAGTACCACACTTGTAATGGTGAAATCAACATCGTTGGTGTTCTCAAAATGCTAGTCATTAATTTAAATCAACCCATTGTTTTACATTTGTCTCTCTTTGTAGCTGGGCAAGGCTCAAGACAGTTGTGTTTCGAGACAGCGTTGGCGCGTCGAAGAGGGCACAACCAATAGACTGACGAAAGCTCCGGCTACACTTTGTGTTAAAAATTTTTACGTCGTTTCAAGCCTCCATCTTGTGTCTTGTTTGGACTCCTAATGGGGCCACGTCAAGGCCATTTAAATTATTCGCTTTTTCAAAATGCTGGCGTTTCTCCGTAGTACATGCTCATGGTGCTGCATATGCGGACAGTGAGTGACGCTTAGAATCAGTGATCGATACACTGACTGTCCGTGAACTACGAGACTTTTCAACCGACGACCGCATAACTGCAGCTTGAGTACGAAGCGCGTCGCTCATAAAAATGCGTGTACGATGGGCCAGGTGAGCGGATATAGAACGCTCAAGTTCACCATATATATATATATATATATATATATATATATATATATATATATATATATATATATATATATATATATATTGAAACGAAGATGCGCGAGCCTCCGGGGCGCGGAAGAAGAAGAGTAGTGGAGCGGCGCCGCGGAGACGGGGATCGCTGGTGGCGTGCGGGTGGTGGGGTAACGCTGCGGTCGAAGCAAGGCGAGTCAGCACGTGCTGCGTGTTGCTGTTGGAAAGAGCCCTGAAACGGTCGAGACTCGCCAGCAGGTACATAGGGCGTGTACACGTTGAATCGTGGAGCTCGCTGTTGGCGATGGTAGCAGTACCTAGCGATGTGTCCAGGTAGCCCGCAGTTGTAGCAAGTACGGGTGTCGCGTCTAGTCGTCCCCGGCGAAGTAAGCCTCGTCGGTTGATAAAAGCCGGGCGATGGTGGTCGAGGAGTAAATCGCTGTGACGCAGCTGGCCTGCGTTCCTGGCTTTCGAGTGGTCGTTCACTCCTTCGTTCGAACCGATCGGTGTAATTCGGGCGAGGCTCAAAGCAGCTCTGTCGCATCCAAGGTACCAGTGGTTCACGGGGCCGTTGGTCGAATGCACACTGATGGCAGACACCAGCGGTGTCCACAGCTTGCAGTTGAGCAAGTTCTTCCTTAACCACCTGTCTTATAAGAGAAGAGATGTCGTCCTGCGATGGAAGGTTGACACTTGCAGTCGTGGGCACATTCTCAAGACGTCCAAATTTCGGTACCACTCTCCTTCTCTTTAGCGCTTCAAACGCTCGGCAGTGTCTCTTTAGGTCGAAAGGTGTGTGTAAGTCTTGCTTAGTGATAAGGAAATTGTACACGTCTTCCGCGATTCCCTTGAGCAGATGACCTACCTTATTTTCGTCACACATGGTCGCACTCACGATTCCGCAAAGCTTCAACACGGCCTCGATGTAGGTGGTGCATGTTTCGCCAGGTAACTGAGCTCTGCGTGAAAGCGTTTGCTCCGCCTGCTTGACCTTAGCTGTTGAGTCACCAAAATACCTCTTCAGCTCGTCCACGAAAATGTCCCATGTGGTCAATGCACTCTCATGGTTGTCGAACCAAAGAGACGCGCTGCCGACGAGAAAAACACCACGTTTTCGAGCTGCTTAGCAGTGCTCCAGCGGTTGCTGCGACTCACTCTTTGGTAGTGCTTGAGCCAGTCATCATCATCGTCTTCCGGCTGCCCGGAAAAGGTCCTTGGCTGACGTTCCGGCATGCCTCAGCGATCTTGTCCTGGCAGGTGAGCGTGTTGCTCATCAGCAACGAGGTTGTTATGGCCTGCTCCCGCGTCCTCCATGTCTGGTAGCTGCGGTGGCAAGCCTGCCAAGCGTCTGCTACGTCGCCAAATCGGTAGAGCTGTGTCGTCCAGATCGATGTACCCGGCACCTTCCACCAAACTGTTACGAGTGACTGTGTTTATTTACAGATGAGGTGAAATGGCGTTGTGAAATAGCAGCGCACTTCTGAGACAGGCCTAGAACGCTTCTACCCAACCACACAGTCCAGGCGCCGCTCCACTACTCTTCTTCTTTTTCCGCTCCCCGTAGGCTCGCGCATCTTCGTTTCACACACACACACACACACACACACACACACACACACACACACACACACACACACACACACACACACACACACACACACACACACACACATATATATATATATATATATATATATATATATATATATATATATATATTTATATATATATATATATTTATTTATATATATATGTATATATATATATTTATATATATATATGTATATATATATACATACATATATATATATATATATATATATACTGAAAGAGAAAAAGAGAAACCTACATCAGAGCGAGAAACATGCGGAGGGAAGGAGAGATCAAGAGGAGAGAGAGAAATAACTAATAACCCCAAGGCTTTCTGGTAACTGAGCATGCAGCCTCTTGTCCAGAGCTCTATTGACAATAGCATCTCGCCAGGCCTTATGGAGGGTCAGCACTAGGCTTTCCAAGTCCCGTTTGTAGATCCGCGCCTTCCAGGGCTAATTTACTAGTCTTCCCGCAATTGCCAGCGAAATGGCGTCTTGCGAACGCTGCGTGCACTGGTATGTATGCATAGGCATGTGCAGCGTTCCCTTTCAGAGGAGGGGGTGTGCAAGTGTTCATCGTAGAGCACCCCCAGCACATTACGTTGATGTATGCAGCAGATTTTGCGCACCCCTCCTGTCCTCCTTTATTGGGTGACTAGGGGTGCCACCGCACTACTCCTCCATGCACGCGCTTATCTTTGTTTGTATGCACTCGAGTGTCGGGGCAGAGCCGCACTTCGGACTTTTGTTACTGTGATTATCGGAAAATATCTTGCGAAATTTATGTAACTGTGGGTAGGTGTACGTTTTCTGTTCCAGTTACTTGCCCGTTGCCCGTTGAGTTTGGGATGAGATAAGGATTCAGAGCGCCTTTCCTGTCTTTGCACCTCGAGTATGCCTCTTGATGTTCGGTCGCGGATAGGCGTCTGTTGGAGAGGTATGTATAGCGCGGCTATGCCACTCGTGCCTCGAGGCAGGAGATTCGTTGCCTTCAATTCAATGTGTGCCAGAGTCCGGTTTCTGCATGATTCTGTGTGCCAGGCACAGGGCAGATTCGAGTATGGTGTCCTGAATTAGAGGTAAATATGGGTTTTACAGTGAGCAAAGTTGAGATAGAGGGACTACTATAATGCGGATGATGCTTCGCGTCACATAAGATGGTGCAAGTGCTCCTGCGCTTTTTATGGTCCACTCCATGGTCTCCATTAAAAACCCTAATCACAACTGCCTATAACTTTGTTACTTTCTTTCCGGGAAGGGGGAGGGGGAGTGGATGGAAAGATGATGATGATGATATACGGTGTTTTTGGCGCAAGGGCCATTTGATGGCCAAAGAGCGCCAGTTCATGGGACAAAGAATGTGGACAATGATTGTGATTAGCGGCTGTATAAGGGCCATAAAATTCCTCGCAATAAGGCGGGTAAAAACATACAAGTAATAAAATCATGACCATGCTGTGAAAGGTGTGTGTGATGTGAATAGGTGACAAAAGTTAGTGATAATGAAAAACGATGGTGGACATGTATGGCATTAGCACAAGTACCTCACTCGTTCATACCCTTGTGTCCAAGGGCCGTGAGGCAAGTGCTTTCCTGTGTAGCCACCGCAGCAAAAACCTCTCTAGAGAGGTCGTGCTACGGTATG